TCAGGGCAGTCAGGCAGGAGTGGGAAGGTCTGCCTTTTTGTTCTATTCAGGCCTTTAATTATTGAATTAAGTCCCATCCACGTTAGGGAGGGCAATCTGCTTAGTCAGTCTCCCAACTCAAATATTGATCTCATCTGAAAAAACACCCTCACAGACACACCCAAAGTAAAGTTTGACCAACTGTCTGGGCACCTCTTGGTGGCCCAGTCAAGTTGACACATAAAATTAACCATCTCAGTGCTTAGAAATCACTTTTTAAATACCATAGGCATCCTTATCACAATTGGAACATTACTGTACTGTGAAAACTGGGAAAATCAGGGAGATACATTGTTTCTACACAACTGAAGTTACAAGAATAATACTGAAATGCAAAAAAAAAAAAGATTTAATTTTACCATAATGTGTAGAATGTGTAACATTTATTTTGAATGTTACACTTTTCTTGCTATTTGAATAGGTAATCAACTTAGATTTCTTATCTATGTAGTGTGAATACTTGTGTGTGCAGGGGAAAACGGAGTGTGGGAGAAATAGAAGGTTTGAATTATTAAACAGATTGTTAAATACTTTAGAAACTTAATGTGTCTTGGTATCTTTATTCAACTAATGTAAATGTTGACTTCATTTCTTTATATTTCACTTTTATGATCATTTACTATGAGGTTTTGTCTTTTAGCTTAAAAGTATACTTGCAAAGAGCATACAGCCTTAGGATCGAAATGGTGATTTCATTTCAGGTCTTCAACAGACTTGTAGGAAATTAAACAAGTGACATCACTACGGTCTTTGCCTGTACTTGCTTATTTTATGAACTGCAATAAAAATGCTTGTTATCAAACATTAACTATGGAGCATTTTGAACTCCTTAGATGAAATACTTAATTTGAATTTACTCAGCCTTGTAAATAAATTTAAAAAGTTAATTGACCTGCACAAATTTGTTACCAACCTTCTCTCTCCCGTGGTGGCTAACTTCTAGTAAAATGAAGAAATTAACATTTCTTTCTACTTCTCGCTCAGATATTTGTGCTTACACAGGTTGAGTAGAACAGTATCTATTACCTGATATGGGTTTATTATAATCCACTGAAGTGCTGTGTGGGAAATCAATTCACATTAGGGTAGAATGTAGATTTAGGATCACTTAAGATCTGTGAATTTGGCCTGGATGTTAAAGTAATGAATAATAAAAAAATTTAGAGGATAGAGTTTCTGTGCCAGGAATGTTCTCCTCTTAAGGGAAATCCCTAGATGAAATGACTTGGGAAAAATAATCCTATCTGAAAATTGGGTTCTTTTTTATCCTATTTTACTCTGAAACTAGTTAGGAACAAAAGAACAAAATAAGGCTTGAGAGTAATGTGCTTGCTCCCCTCATCACTGGTTAAATCAGGAGAGTAGGCAGTAGAGAATGAGGTGGTGAGAGAGAGAGAGAGCGAGAGAGAGTGAGAGCCAGCCAGCGAGTGAGTGAGGGAGAGAGGAGAAATGTAGTGGACTGATAAGATAAGTCCTCTGCAGGACTTGACAGGGAAACTCAGGGCTCAGCTGGTAAGGAACTGGCCCCAGGAGGGCTTCTCGGGGTACTCTGTGTTGTCCATGATGCTCCAATCTTGAATTGTCTTTCTTGAAGCTTTTACCCTTCATTTGGTCTTAAGTTGGACATGAGGCTCAATAGCCAAGTGGTCTCAGCTATAGGCCCCAGCTATAGCTTGGGCCACACAAACCTATTGTTCTGTACTCTATCCTCCCTTCATAAAAAGTCCATGTTTAGTACCATAGATGAGGTTTAATAGATCTTAACCTTTAAAATATGATGTTAAAACAATTGAAGATAATGCTCACTCTGTTGCCATCTTAGTTGGTTTACAAAAGGAGTTTATAAATGACCAAGGTGGCAATACAACACTTTAGGGGAAAGAGAGACTTTTCAATAAGTGGGTGAAGGAAAGCAAGCCAGAGGAGGGAAAAGAATGCAGAAGTATTTTAGGGAATATAATCTTGAAGTTTGGATATTGCCCTTTTGATTTTCCTGAAAATACAAACATGTGAATAATGATGTAGCTAGAAGGAATCACGGAAATGGAACGCAATGAAAATATTAAAGCTATGCAATACACGTAACCATGACAAGAACAGACAGACTATAGGAGAATTTGTGCTGGCTTTGAAAAGCATGCCCTGGACCAATAAAAAGCTGAGGCTAGACAAGAACTGTGCTCTGTGTAACTGTTAGAGCAAACAAAGAATACAAGGATTCCTTGGAGTGAGGTCATTTGTTACATCTTAGGAACTTGCATGTATGGGAAGCTAATACTTTTTGTCAGAGGGAAGCTTTTATATAACAATGATGACTGAATGAAAATAATATCAAATGTCACACTTAAATACCACACTTATTTTAAAAAGTTTAATTCTTTCAGAGACATATGTTGTGAAATTTAGAATTGTCGATTTTTGATCTATACCATTCTTCTATTGAGAAAAAATTTCTATCTAAGGAGCATGGCTGATATTTGGAGTGGATATTGAGAATTATGTGTGCAAAATGAAATTAAAACCAAACCTATATTGCATAATACCCTCAATGTCCATCCATGTTGTCACAAATGGCTGGATTTCATCGTTTCTTATGGCTGAGTAGTATTTCATTGTGTATATATACCACATCTTCTTTATCCATTTGTCCCTTGATGGGCACTTAGGTTGCTTCCAAGTCTTGGCTATTGTGAATAATGCTGCAATGAACACAGGGGTGCATGTATCTTTATGCATTGGTGTTTTCAAGTTCTTTGGATAAATACCCAGCAGTAGAATAGCTGGATCATATGGTAGTTCTATCCTTGATTTCTAGGGGAAGGGGGGAGGGAGGAGGGTGAAAGGGATAATTAGGCACAGGTGTGTGGTGATGGATTGTAATTAGTATTTGGGTGGTGAACATGATGTAGTCTATGCGGGGGTGGAGGTGTGATGCTGTGCACCTGAGGTTTATACAATGTTGTGGACCAATGTTGCTGCAATAAACAAAAAATTTAAAATAAATAAATAAATAAACCAAACCTATATTGGGTCCAGCCCAGTGGCTTAGCGGTTAAGTGCGCGTGCTACACTACTGGCGGCCCGGGTTTGGATCCCGGGCGCGCACCAACGCACCGCTTCTCTGGCCATGCTGAGGCCGCGTCCCACATACAGCAACTAGAAGGATGTGCAACTATGACATACAACTATCTACTGAGGCTCTCGGGAGTGAAAAAGGAGGAGGATTGGCAATAGATGTTAGCTCAGAGCCGGTCTTCCTCAATAAAAAGAGGAGGATTAGCATGGATGTTAGCTCAGGGCTGATATTTCTCACCAAAAAAAAAAAAAAAAAAAACCCAAACCTATATTTTCATTGCTATTGAGTGGGATCCATGTCTCAAAAAGACATAGATGTTGCTGTAGTAAAAGGAAAGTAGACCACTTATAAAAATGATTTTTAATTTCCTCGGCTAGGTATCTGGTGACAGAAAAGACTATATTCTATCGAATCCTCATTAATAACGTGAAAGAGTGCAACAGTCTAAGTTGCACAAATTCGAATGTCTCCAGGCACCATTCAGTAAATTTGAATGAGTGAAGTAGGCTGAGCATGACACTAGTGTTGGAACACTGGTGAATGTCTTGCCAGAAAATTAGGCTCTCAAAAGAAGCAAATTGGTGGGGTTTACCATAAAAAGCATTAGGTTGCCACTGATTAGACTGTGTGGTAGAACACTCTTTTTACTTTCAATTTGAAAAGTGCTTAATTACCCAAGATATTTGTAAATAACATTAAACTAAAACCTTGCCTTGTTTATAAACACTTGCACGGCCTTACTGTTTTAATTGACTTGAACTTTATGGCAAAGATCTTTCTATTAGGTCCTCAAAGAAAACTGGATGGATATTGAAACATTTTACATTTGAAAAATCTAACACTGTAGTTGAAAAAAGTTGAAACAACTCACTTTCTGAATATTAAACTGCATGTTTCCAAATCTTTTGATAGGTTATATTTAAACGTATTTTTGGAATTATGTTATACCAAAGAAGTGTGGGGGAGGTGAAGAGTCCACGTCTTGATTCAGTGGCAAACATATATGGAATACATACTTATTACACATTAGATGTGATATTGTCATGCTACTGTCTCACTTCCCTCATGATTACTGCTGAGGAGACTGGTATTCTTCCATGTTTCATACTCGAGACAACAGCATCTCAGAAAGATTCTAGATTTTTGGAAATTTTATTAAAGAAGACATTTTTAATATTAATTATGGAACCCCTTAGTTCACTCGTTTTTGATTTTTTTATCTTTGTTCAATTTTTGTAAAGCTATTATGATTTATTTTGCATGCTAAACAACTCTTAGTTTAAGAAATAATGGTCTGTCATTTCATATTTCCCCACAGGTTGCGCTTAGCTTTGGTTCTCTATGGCCTGCAATAGTTGTTGGCGTATGCTCTTAAGACATGGAAATATACTTTTAAGAAGAAATGGAGAAAATTTCTTCTGTGGTTTTTGAAAAACTCTTTAAGAGGAGTGGAATTATGTCCTACCAAGCCATCTTTAAATTTATGGGAAAACTTAAAAAAAAAACAAAAAACCCGAAACCCTTTTAGGGACTCGTCATTCTTTTAAAATATTTCAAGTTAAAGAATCATTACAGTTCATAATAAATGTCTGATAAAAAAAGATTTTGAAGCAACAACAGCAAGCAAAGCTTGATTTAGGCCAGTGCTAGCTGCACTTCAGCGAGCGTCAGAATCATAGGGGAGTGTTACAACACAGATTCTCGGGGTCCATCCCCAAAGACTCCCATTCCAGAGGACCTAGGTGGAGCCTCAGCATTTGCCTTTCGAACAAGTTCCTGAATGATATTGATGCTGTTGTTCTTCGGACCACATTTTGAGTAGCATTGATTTTGGGATGCCCCAAGAAGCATAGTGTGTACTAACAATTTAAATTATGTTTTTCAGAAAAATAATTTCAACTGTTCCAGAAGAGCTCAGTGCCCAGAAATCAATGTCAGTTCTGTACAGATACAAGGTGATGCCGATTATTTCATCAACCATCTTGGAGTTCCCACCGTGCAGTTTGCTTATGAGGACATCAAAGCATTAGAGGTAATTGTTCCTAAAAATGCAAAACACACACACACACACAATAAAGCAGACATGCAGAATTTGATTTTATCCTGGCTATTCGTCTTTCTTACCAAATAGGTCACTATAGGAAGCTGCTTCATTTAGAGAGTTCTTCTTGTTCAGAGGCTTCGTGACAGTGTTTGAAAACATCAGCTCTTTTCAATAGCTTGAATTCAATTTAAAAAGATTTATACTGTTACTCACATTTTCAGTGTGCTTTGCAACAAGATATTTGCAGTAGTTGGATTACATCAAAACATAATTGTAATCTTCAGTAGTCACAGAAACAGATGACATGTGCAATAGATCCTCCTTTCTTTGCCCAAGAGAGAATGCATTTCACGTGCTGTACATTAATGTGAGTCTTGTGAATTAGCTACCCAAAGTTTGTCAATAGTTTGCCTGCCTAAAAAGATACTACTTTTTTTGTGAAGATAGGCAGCTTTAATCCAAAAAATATCACAGAAGCCTGATTCACTTTAATTAAATCTGTGTCCATCCATCTTTTGGATTTCAAACCTTTTAATCTTTCTCGGAATTATGTCACAGGAAACTGTTTCTCTGTAGATCTAAACCTGTTAAATATTTTACCTTCTTTTACAAATTGGGTATGCATTATTGGGAGCTATTTGAAAGCCTCTGGGGTAGAGCCTGCTTGAAGCAATTATTACATTAACAAAATAGTGGTTGGAAAAAAGAGTAAAGCCTGCTTTGTTTTTCAATTATAGATGTTCCTGAAAAGTTGTGTTTAAATTATATTTTATAGGCTCAACTTCAGATATGCAATATTTTAGTTTCTGCTAGCTTTTTAGCAATATTTAGCTTGATGTTTCTCTGCAGTCCCCCTACCCCCCACCCCTTAGTTTCTCTGTAAAGAGCTGATGATTACTAACAACTTAAATTCGTGGAGGGAGAAACTGTGGGTGAATCTTATTGTGATGAGATGAATTCTTGGGTAATGCACAAATAATCATTATGATTTACCTGTTTTTTAAATTTGGATTTTCATATGCTACTGTTGTTTGAAGATGGATTACATATGTAAAGGTATCTTTTCTTTTACCAAGCCCACTATATGCATGTTAGTGAAATCAATGTATTAAGAAATTAACTCATTATTAAATTTCCTGCTTGATATCTTTTAATATCTCTTTAATCATCCACCCATCTCAGCCCATCCAGCTCCGTCATGTTAACATGTCAAATGATAGCTTTTATTCAACACATGTCTAATTCATCTTGGTTGAGTTTTAAGCCGAGAATTTAGAGAGGCGGTATAGCATAGCCTTAGGAATGGAACTATACTTGATTCCTGGCTCTGATACTTACTAGGCAAATGATTTAACCTCTTTCAGAATTATTTTATAGATGAGGAAACTTGGTATACTATGGAATCTACTTCATAGAGCCATGGTAAGGATTAAATGAGACTGCATGTAAAGGGCTTAACTAACATCCAGCACATAATAAGGCCCCCATTAACCACAGCTATCATCACAATTATCCTTGTCTGATTGTAGGTCCAACATATTAGTGGGAAAATTTCTAAACTTTTTAGATAAGAACACATTAGTGGAAGAGAGGAGCCTGTTAATTAAGAAAAACAAGCTTCTAGGCCCAAAGAGGTGGAATTTGATGAGCTTCAGCTGGAGGATCTGCGATGTCAACAGGAAGAAGATATGGAAACAGGTCCCAATGATGTTCTAAGAATGTACTATTATTACTATGAAATTCCTAAGGCTAAAGTCTATCTACTAGAACTGGCTTAGTCTGAAGGAGCTAATCCGCTTTTTGAATTATACCCAGAATGTCTAACTCCCATCATCAAAATCAGTTTTTATTATACTTGTCTCCAAAAAAGTAATTAAAAGAGAATCCCCTATGCTTTATAACAAATGACCTTGTTTATATTGCTTTAGTGTGGAAAATTTTTTTAATGAATTTGTTGCTAACAAAATATGAATGCTTGAGATGAAATAATTTTGTGTGGTGAACTCTCCAAAGAACAGATAATAACCTTTGCTTTCTGCATTAACCTATAATAAATATTTGTATACAGTTATTAAGAGGAATTATAAACATTGAAAGGCTTTATCCATGATATAAAGAATATTTATCCTATGTCAATTAGTGAAGTATATAAGGAAATTAGAGCTTTTTCATGAATTTACAATTAGATTTAAAAATATAATATATATTATATATACAATTAAAGTAATATCTACTTATTGAGTACTCGTTGTGCTAAGTATTTTTACCTCATCTCTTTTAATACTTACAATATCCTTATGAGTCAGCTATTATTATTAATACTTTTTTTGCTGAGGATGAAATGGAGCTTAAAATCAAGTAGCTTATCCAAGATCATAAAGCTAATAAATGGTAAAGATAGAAGTTAACCTCAGGTCTGTTTAACAGTAAGCCCATGTTCTTAACTATTACACTAAAGGTTGCAAATTGGAAGCTCAAGGGGCAAGATCCAGTCCGCAGATATATTTTGTTTGCCTTGCACTTTATTGAAAAACTGGATTTCTGGAAACATTGGGTTCTTTTTTTCAATGGAAACAACCTGCTAAATTGTGAATTACTCGCCAGCCTGCCATGTTCTTTATTAAGGAGTCTGTCGAATTGTTTATCCTAGAGTACAGTTAAGAAGAATATTTCTTCAATACCTGTTTCTATTAAAAGTTGGGAAATGAATGATCAACCTAACAGACCACATATTTCACCAGACTGTGTCACCTATATTACCTGCCTGGTCCCTGTAGGCACTGAGTTCATCATCTCTGCACTCATTTTGAGTAAAAGAGTTGATAATTCTACTTTGCCTTCCACTTTAAAACGTACATGTGTTTTTTGTTTTTTTTTTTAATTATTTATTTATTTATTTATTTTTTTCCCCCAAAGCCCCAGTAGATAGTTGCATGTCACAGCTGCACATCCCTCTAGTTGCTGTATGTGGGACGCGGCCTCAGCATGGCCGGAGAAGCAGTGCGTCAGTGCGCGCCTGGGGTTCCGAACCCAGGCCGCCAGCAGCGGAGTGCATGCACTTAACCGCTAAGCCATGGGGCCAGCCCGTACATGTGTTTTAAGTGAGCTAATTTTATGATTATACTCATGTTTTTGAAGAAACTATTTAAAAATCATTTGGGTAATTATAATGCAAAAGTATTTCCCCTAATTTTTTTTTACCTGGTAAAATTGATTATGGAACTGTTATATTCAAGTTCAACAAGTGAATAATGATAATAGGAAAAAAATTTGGCTGTAAGAAAATAAACTAGTGCAATAGATGTCACTTTTATGGCCATATGGGACATTATTAGTTCTAAAATTATTTTTTGATGGAACATGACGTTTTATAATATCTATCCCCAATATTTCATGCTCTCCTTATTCCCACCAGTATCTTTTCCCTCTAGTTTCTCTGGATGCTAATATATTGCATAAGATTGCTTGGAGCACCTTTCATAGCTTTTCTTGGCGTCTATACTCTGATTTTCCAATAATTAAATTTCACAAATGCAAAGCAATCTATGGATTTGCCAAATGTTAGAATTATTCCTTCCATAAGATATTGCCCTGTTAATTGAAACGTCTCTAGTTGTAAGCTTCATTTAAATAAGGTTTTCAATTTGTAAACATTGTTGCACCTGTTAGGAGAAGCATTCTGCACAGATTAAATACAATGCGGAGATTGCTGAGAAGGAAATGAAAAGACAGATGCTTTCTGATTAAGAGTGCAATATTTATGACAGGCTGGTGGTCCAATGCACATTTCTTCTGTCACTTAACAGCTGTTTCACATAATTTTTGTTCCAGATCAGTATATTTACTCTCTAGAGGGCATGTCAGAGGGTCTGGCTTTCTTAGTATATCAAAAGATCAATGCATGCCCTAGCAAGCTTTGTACCACAAATTGAAGCTCTGGTTCGTCACTCTATTTAACCTTATATTTTTTGGTTTTCTGCTCTAAACATTCTATTTTAAACCCAATTTACCTCTATAATGGAGCATTTAACATTTAAATGATAATGAGATAAAGGAGTATTATAGCTCTTATATAGCAAGTGTTTTTGCATAATTGTTTCAAAATCATTTAGTAACCCAGCGACCAAAAACCAAGTAGCATGGGTGTTTTGAAACTCTTATTAATTCTTTTTAAGTTAGGTGACTTTGATATCAATTCTGATTCTTAAACTGATATGTAGCAGGATGAGTGTGTGTGTGTGTGTGTGTGTGTGTGTGAACTTTAACATTAAGGTAATTTTACGGGATAAAACGATAATTTGTGTAGATACTATACTACAATATACATATACACATTTTGGAGGAAAGTAACTCATAGTTTACATGTTGATTCTTCATCTTTTATTCTAATAAGTAGAAAAAGAATTAATCTTACTAAATTAGAGATCATTCTTTCATTACATTTTCTGTTTGGAACTTAGTCACTGTCATTGTTATAAGGAACCAAATAGTTATGTGTAGCTACACATAAGTTATACTGATGTTTTGCAATATCTGATAAAGTCTGTTTCCTACTGATAGCTACAAAACTTATGTAATGTCACTCAGAAATGAAATTTTACCTTTTCTACTTCAAAATGTGCCAATTAGAAACAGGATGGAAAGGAGTTCTTTAGTGTTTTCTCTAGTTGATTACTTTTCTTTCTAATTTATTTTAGGAAAACTACTTTCAATTTCGATCAAAATATGTGGCATTATTATTTTCAGATCAGACTTGCTTCATTTAGGGCAGCGGTTCTCAATCATTTTGTCCTAAAAACCCATTTGCCCTCTAAAGGTATTGAAGACTTGGGGTGGCCTGGTAGTGTAGTGGTTAAGGTCGCAGACTCCGCTTTGGTGGCCCCGGGTTCGCAGGTTCGGATCCTGGGCATGGACATATGCCCCACTCATCAAGCCATGCAGTGGTGGCGTCCCATATACAAAATGGAGGAAGATGGGCATGGATGTTA